AATGAATTTATAAACTAATAGATAAATATGAAGTATTATATTAGCCTACTATTTTATGAGATTATCTTAAATTTTTCTTCCAACGATAAAGTTCTATATTTTAAAATATCTTTTGGCTTTTAACTACTTCAATATATTCCACCTACTCTCAATAAGTCAAACCCTTATATCAAAGAATAAAAAATAAAGAGGAGAAAAAAAGCAGTCCAGGAAAACCAGGCAACCTGGTAACTACATCTGCCAATGTTTGCAAGCCTCTACACTCAAGAGTTTCCACCTCTGCAAAGAAAGGACATATTTTTTTCTCAACTCTTTTCCGGTGCCAATCTCAATACCATGATTACAAATCATTCTAAAATTCTCTGATACTATGATGCTATAATAATGCTAGATAGGACTGAATCTATGGTCTATAGAACCTGCATCTCCAGTGCTCCCCACCCCTTTTGCCAGCAACAACTATGCCCTCACAACACAAAATACTGATACATCCATACTTGCAGGCCTTATCTATATATGTGAAAACTTTCCTTGTCTTTTATCATTGTAATATTAAAGATAACATTTGGACCAAATACATAATGAGTAATTTGACTATTTCCTTGAACTGGATACCACCGAAATACTGACATTTGTATTTTTAATTATGCAACAACAAATGGTAGACATATTCTCTAATTCTTTACAAGAATAAGATACATTTATTATTTGTATGTTCCAGCTGCCCCTAATTCACAACTGTTTGTAGCATACTTTTCAAGACAGAAGCCCACTTAAGCGCAACGAGACTGAATGGCTGGGATACAAAAAAATCGCTCACTGTTGATTTAATAGTTAGCAAAAGGGGCTGGCAGCTGTTGTGGGTAGGGTCCACCAGATGGCTCTCACAATACTGTCATCTGTTAGAAACTCAGTCGAAAACCAGAATATCCATGAAGTATGCTTTTAACAAATAACCCTATGGATTCTCAGAATTTCCAAAGCAATAAGTCTTATTGCCAACCTCACATACGGTAAAAACTTCATGCTGAATAAGCATGTGAAAGACAAAAGGGAAGAGAAAACCTGGGTTATTAAAAAAGGAGTAATCTCGATTTAAACCTGTCACTATTTGAATTCCCAGGAAGACAAACAACTGCAATGTTACGAAACTACATTGTATCAAGAGACCCAAGGCAGAATACTAATGCCAGTTCCTCATTGCCAAAACCAAATCTGCCTTGCACATTGTATTGGGTCTGTTTTTTGTTTTTGTTTTTTTAGAGGAAAAAAAGGTTTTACTGATGTCTTGTTTTTACAAACGTAATTTCTGGGTATACCTTCCCACAACACCCCCCCCCCCCATTCCATACTGATCTCTTGGAACAAAGAAACAATTAAGCAAATTACTGACAGTGACTGCATCTGACAACACACATACTATGCTGCTCTCTTAGTCCCTTGCCTCTTTATCAAGAGGGGAGAGTATGTTATATTATCTGTAACCTTCTCAGTTACTAAGTTTTCATTTACATTGCTGTAGTCATGTATATTTTCCTGATTCTGCTTATTTTACTCTGCATCAGTTCACAAAATCTCCCCATGTTTCTCTGAATTTCTCATATTACCGCATAACAACATTCCATTACTTTCACACACCAGTTTTTCCGGTTCTTCCTCAGTTGATGGGTATCCACTGTTTTCCATTCCTTGCTACCAGAATGGTTACTGTGAATGTTTTGATATAGGGCTCTTCTTTTTGGGTCCTTGGCTCTGGGGATATATGCCCATTAGTAGGATTGCTGATTCAAAGAAATGGGACCTGTTTAGTCACTTTTCTCACATAATTCCAAAATGTCTTCCAGACCAATTCACAGCTCCAAACAGTGCCTTTATTAGTGTGCCTGTCTTTTCATAATCCCTCCAAAGCTCGTGACTTCCCCCTTTTATCCTCTTTGCCAATTTGCATCACATGAGGTAAAACTGCAGAGTTGTTTTCATTTGCATGCACCAACGTTGCATTGTGCTATCGATCATGGACAAAGTTCAGAAGTTGTAGAGCTAAAAAAAAAAACTGGATGGCTGTTCTACAAAACATCATATAAGGTACTATGAATAGAGTGGTGGTATGCCACAACATAGATGTTCCCAAGCTAGAATATGAGTGTATCAAAGGAGCCCAGGGAATATCTGATAAATAATGGTATTACCTTATTGAAATAAATCTGTTCTGTTTCTTATGTGAATAGGCATGGTGAACTCGAGAATTTATTTATTCTCACGTTGAAAAGAGTTTCAGAGACTACTGAAAGCCAAGGGGCATAGGGATGGAGAAAGGTTGGGAAACCCTGGTGTAATGTATAAAGAACTGGCTGGATTCAAGTAGAATCTCTGACATACTGGCTGTGTAACCCTGGGTAAGTCACTCCTTAGTGCTCCAGGCAATTGTCTAATACTGTAAGTTATGGAGAAGGTGCTGACCTGTGTGAGTAGAGGAAGCTCCTCATCAGGAACTCTCTATGTATTTGAAATTATAGGTTCCATCCTCATTCCTAATTACATGAATTACACACACACATACACACACACACACACACACACAAACACACATATATAATGGAAGCCAGAAGACCCAAGTTCTAGTACACCTTTTGTCTGCTGAATTCTATGCAACTTCAAATGATAAGGCAGAACTACACTGAATAACATCACCCAGCAATCCAAGTTTCTTGGCTAAAGGATAAGTAGTACATTAAACCTTTTTTTCAAACTTTTGAGGAAGAGAAATAATAGAAAAAAATAAAATAAGGTACACCTAAAATATAAAGGATATAGGACTACAAAAGGTTTTTTCAAGGAAAATATTCTTAAACTTATTTGTAAGTTTATCTGGTTCCTTACTATCTAAAAGTTAGTGCTGGTGTCCAGAGGAAAGGATGATTTTTGTGCTATAAAAATTGTAATAAATTCATCTTTTAGTTTGAATAAAATACAAACTAGGAAAATTATATTCATAGAATGTTTTATGAAAATTGTATGGGGGCATAACTTTTTTTTGAAAGGATGCTGTTACCACACAAAGTTCCGAAACTACTTCCACAACATGTTACCATGACAATCAAAACAGCTGCAGTTCCTGATAAGGAGATAATAAGCTTAAGACTCAGTATATGGAACATTGGGCCTGGAGTCAGGAAGTCCTGAGTTCAAATCCAGCCTCAGACACTTCCTGGCTGTGTAACACTGGGTAAATCACTTAACTTCTGATCATCTAACAAAAGGATCCATGGGAAAAGGAAATAGCTAACCACTCCAGTATCTCTGCCAAAAAAAGCCCATGGACATCTATGGTCCATAGGGTTGCAAAGGGTCAGACACAACTGAACAACAACAAGGTTTAGCCTCAAAGAGCAGTCGTTATTAGTTCCATGTCAACCTGGAAGCTCTCTGGGTACCCCAGGGAAACGACTGGCCCTGTACGATTTAATATCAGTGCTCTGAGGCATAGATGGCTTTTTTATCTATTGTTGCAGAGGATATAAATCTAAAAATAATGACAACAGCTAACATTTATATCACGCTTACTATGTGTCAGGCACAGTGCCAAGTGCTTTACAAATATCTCATTTGATGCTTACAACAACCCTGAGAGGTAGATACTATCATTACTCCCATTTTACAGGTAAGGAAACTGAGGCAGACAGAGATTACATGACTTGCTCATAGCTAGTACGTGAGGCTTTATATGAACTAGAACACAGCTAGAAAGTATCTAAGGTCATATATGAACTTAGTTCTTCCTGACTCCAGGCCCAGTACTCCATCCACTGAGCCATCTAGTTGCCTCAGATAGGGGGAGGGGATAACTAATATACTGGAGCAATGACAAAATTAAAAAAGATCTTGGCAGGCTAGAACAATGGGCCAAATATAGCAAGACAAAATTGAACAGGGATAAATATCAACTCTTACCCTTGGTTTAAAAAAATTCATTTGAGAAGTACAAGACGTAAAGTATGGTGAGAGAGCAGTTTGTCTGAAAAATGACTACAGGTTGAAGTGAATTACAATCTGATACGGTGGAGACACGTTATGGCAACCAAGGGAGCTAGGAGAATCTGACGGCTGCGTTGACAGGTGCCTTGGTCATATCACATCTAGAATATCACTGTTTGAGGGTGGAGGAAGCACGTTTTAGGAAAATCATGCAGAAGCTGGAGAATGGAAAAAGGGGCCAACTATGACTGTGAAGGGCCTTGAAATGATGCCATATGTGGATAGGCTGATGGAACTGAGGATGTCTAACCTAGAGATGAGTGAAACTGAAAATTTATTCTAATTCTATTTTAAGATTTAATCAAGCTAGCATAGATTTAATATTCTCCTTCCCTGTATGTGCCCAAATCCCTTGCTGTTGCAAGTTCACTCAGGTAACCTCCGGTCATCTGGGTAACAATTCTCCTTTTGTGCCTTGTGTCCCGACCCTTATAACTTCACCAATCACCCACTTTCCAGAGAATTTTGATGAACCTAAGCGTCAATCTCAATTTAAAACTGTTGTAGCAACTCCCATTGCCTACAGACTAATTTCATCACGTGAGAACTGACCTCATCTCCCTATGATGAAATGGGGAGCTACAAAGATGACATTCATCCCACCTCCTCATTAAAATGTCCAGCCAATCAGAAGACACATCTGTGTTGCTTGAGATTTTGCTCAGTCATCTTGTGAATCACTACAAAAGATTGTATCATCTCTAATTTGTGGTCTTTGGTCAGTGAGAGGTCACTAATCTCATTTATTGGCAAATGCTAGCCCTTCTCTTTTTTTTCTTTTTTTTTTTGTGCAATTGAGGTTAAGTGACTTGCCTATGGTCACACAGCTAGTAAGTGTCAAGTGTTTAGTCTGAGGCTGGATTTGAACTCAGGTCCATAAATATATTAGTGGTCTGTATATACTCTTGGAAAGATATATAATTTTATCCATTTTGCAATAGTATACAGTTTTATTTACTCCCAAATAAAACAAAAATGTGTTTATTAATAAATTACCTTAGTCATTAAAGTAGACAAGGTCATTTCGTAAAGAGGAAGCTGCTGACTATTTTAAAATCTGAAGTAGCAAATAATCTTTTCTTCCCTGAATAGTGTTGCCATCAGCAAATGAAGTGGTAATTCCTAATAAATGAGATTTCTTAAATTAAAGATATTAGATTTTTGTCCATCTTTTCCCTAAATACTCAATGCACTGTTGCACAGCAACAATTTAGATTCTTTCCTATGTTTCTTTTTTGTAAGGTTGAGAGTTTGAAATCTACACTCCTTTAGCTGGGTTTGGGAATTCTGCTGGAACCAAAGGTGCAAATAACCATTGTAGAAATCAGCAGCTGTAAGTTTTTTCTTGAATATAACTGACCGTATGCCAATCCAGCCACCCTGTAGAGAAGTTAAGACACATGGCAGTAAGACCAGGCAGTTACAGCAGAATAGCAAAGCTTAGTTTGACAGATACTCTTAAAAACAATTATTTCATGAATGCCTAATTACAAAAGGTACAGCCCTAAATCCTACAGGCCAGATACATAAATACAGTCCTATTCTATGTGAGCTTATTACTTAAGGCAGGAGAGACAGATTCAAAACCAGGATGCATACACATTACATATAGATAGCAGAATAAAAAACATTATACATGGATGAACAGAAAGGTGTATTATATAGTCAATATAATCAAGAGAAAGATTTTTAATTGAGAGGAGATCACAAATAATAAATATTAAGTGAAAAAAATTCCAAGCAAACAATCTCTCAGGGTTAGTATGTCAGATTCATGATAGGTGGAAGAGTATACAGAATAGTCTTTTGTGATACCTAAAGAGGAGATGACATTCAGTGACTTAAGTTCTTTCTTAGGGAGGAAAATAGAGTTTTTGTTTTGCATTCCTAAGTAATATAGCTTTAGTTTCACAGCACAAAATATAGTCATTTTGAAATCAATATTTGTATTCCTGGGAAGAATTCCCTGAAGAGATAGTAGCACATAAGCTTGGTGTTGAAGGACTACAGGGATTCTGAGAGGCAGAGATAGAGACGTGGAGGACAGCTTGCAGAAATGCAGATGTGAAAGATGGAGTGATAAGTTGAGAGAATGGACAGTCCACTTTGGCTGGAAAATGGGGGTATGAATGGGAACAATGTGAAATAAAGCTGCAAAGGTGAGTGCAGCATCTTAAATGTCAAGCTGAGTGGTTTGTAGTTTATCCTAGAAACATCAGGGAACTACTGAAGATTTCTGAGCAGGGGAGCACACTGGAATGTTATTTTGCTAGATATATAGAAGGAAGATAGATTAGAGAGGGGAGAGCCTAGAAATAGGTAAAGAAACTGAGAGACTAACAGTCCAGGCAGAAGGTATGCTGAGCCTGAAGTAGTGTGGTGGTCATATCTTCCCCTGAACTTACCACAGTATATTACATAAAAGTAATTAAGTAAATGTTTATTAAATTTGTTACTGTTGCACATCCTTTCAGATTTTCAGTTAACAATGCGTGCTCAACTAAACCTCATTGGTTAATATCACTTAACAAATAATATTCTAGATCAAATGTCTTTGAAGAAAATTGAAGGGAATTTCTTTACTGTTTAAAAGTAATAAAACCAAAGGGGATATGCAATTATGTGTGTACATGTCCGAGATGATAAAGACAACTAAACGAAATATTGCAACAACAAAGAAAACCATACCTTGCAACAAACCAAGAGTGTTTGTGACTGTTTGTGGTATATTATTGTTCCTGGAAGAACAGATTGTCCCATTAATTTCTGATCTGAAAAAGGAAAGAGAAAAAAGGGACAAATATTCTTGCAGCTTTTTGGTTACTTAATGAAAATGAGGGGAAAAGTGTTTTTTAAATGATCTTAGCATAGACCCGAAATTAGATAGAAATTCTGGATGAAAAGCAATCAGTGTTGCCCCAACATTCCCATTTTACATACCAATATCTGAAAGTCTGGACCCTCTGTGATTCATTAATATAATCAGAAATTTTCTAATACAGAGAACAGAATGAGTCTTGTTAAAAATATAATTAGTAAGTAGGCTAAGAAGTCAATCTCAAAGCGTCAACTGACCATTTTTTGATATAACTACTGACTTGTGGAAAGGGAGATGAAAGGGTTTGGAACCCTGATCATATCCCAAATTTCAAATGAGACCCATACCAGACTTAAATATTGGGAAGGTACTGATAGTCTGAACTTGGCCTGAGTTTGAGGACAGTAGGATTGTATAATCTGTGGCTGAAAAGTCCTCCTCCAATGAAAGTATTCGGCAAGCTGCCCATCGATTTTCATTTATGCCATTTACCAGGATGAAATTTATTAGACCACTTGTACACTCCAAGGAAAATGCTAACTGCCAACTCTGCCTAATTAATGAAATTATACCTAACCAAACTTGAGTTTTCTATAAGAATTATGTTTTAGGCAAATCTGACCTAAAACATAATACATTTTCATTTAGGTTACCAAGTAAAAACATTTTTATTTTAATTATTTAAAAGTCAGTACCAGCAAGGTCTGGTCTATGAGCTTCCACCAAATCCAGAAGTTTAATGGTGCTACCCATCCAAAGTGTCTGCAATGGAATCTGAAAGCGAACACAAAACAGGGATGAAGAAAGAATACACAGCTCCAAAACTTCTTCTCATCAATCATTAGATGTTATCCAGTTCCACTTAATTTTCTTTTAATGAAGGAAATGAAGGGTCAATCAATAATGCTGCCTAAGCCTTTTCAGATAGTTTATAAATGTAGCCAATCCTTTTTTAATACAAAGGAGTTGGGTTATAGGATATATAAGACCCCGCTCAGGAAAAATAATTAATGAGCATTTATTGAACAATGGATAGGACACGGTGATGAGTGTTATGGGCACTGTACTAATTGTGTAGATAATAAACTGTCTGGTTAATTTCTAGGATTTAAAAGAACATATGAGAAAGACTTTATCTTTCAAATATACAGAATCAGAACAGGTGGCTGAAGGACCTAAATCTGTTTCATGCCATGGAGCAGGTGGTAATAATAGCATGTGGAGAAACACATGCCATGAAACAGCTTTAGGTCCCTCAGCCACCTGTTCTGATTTAGTGTTTGAAAGACAAAGTCTTGGTTCTGTTAAAAAAAAAATTAAAGTAAAAAATACACAGACTTTCTTTAAGGCAGTAAATACTTTTTTTTTTTTTTTTTTTAAGAATACAATGAATTCATTTTCACACACTGTGGGGCTAAGATTTTTTTTAAGATCTAAAAAGCAGTCCTTTTGGTTCCTTGTCCATAACACAAAAGAGTTCATTAAAGTCTTAGAAAACTTAAGTGTCTGAAACACTGAAGAATTGAAGTAAACCAAAGATATCTGAAAAGCCCAATACTGGTTTTCTTCTCCTCTGACATCCTCCCCCTACCTCCATCAGTATTACTACTTCTTCTCCATCCACTCACTGAAAAAAATTAGGGTGTCCCAGAAGCCTTACTTAAAACTGCACTGGACTTATGGGACACACTGTATAAACTATTCTCCATTTCATATTTTCATTGAGAAAACTCATCTCCTTTTGGAGCCCCCAAAATGTTTCTGAAACATTATTACTGATTAAGACTTAAGTTTACTAAGAACTGTAAATACCTTTGGCACTGTAGGGGATATTCAGAATATGTAGAAACTAGTTTCTAGAAATTCACATTTTAGGTTATGCCTTGATGTAATCTTTAGAACATCTTTGATAGGAAAACTGGCACAGAACCAGCAAAAAATGGGTAACTGAATCCAAGTGTTTGAAGAGACTAACATATGTTACAACTTCAGTACACTTATGATAATATGTGACATTTAAGAACCTGACTGATCATGAAAACAAGTCAATCTTTTGTTTATATTTAATATACTCCTGAATTTAGTTTTGCATAGTTTAGTTCTCGTGCAAATATCCAAAAAAGTGATTTCCATACAAAACTATCAGATTGAAAAAGATGCCTTACCATGCTGCCAATGGCACGCTGAAGCCGTAATATTTCCTCTGGTGTTTGTTCCTCCCATTTTACACAACTCAAAGCAACAGAGATCTTGGGAGCTATGAAATAATGCCAATGATGAAAATTAACATTTTCAGACTTACTAGACTATAAAGTTTACAAATGCATAGACTATGTCTGATCTAACTTTCTAGTTTACTGCTTTGCCACTGTAGGCACTTAAGACATTTTGCTGAATTGTTGAATTTCATGCTTATGGTAAAATGAGTAGAACTGTATCAATTAATATATATTCCAGTTCTCTCAAAACACCCTAGTTCTCAAGGGTAACAATCAGCATGATATATACTTCAAGTAATAAATGATTCTGTTTAAACAAAATGAGAGATAGAATAAATGGGGATACAGGAATTATAAGATTATGTGCCAGTTTGATTCAGTGTTTGATTGTGCAATCTGGAAAATGGATTCTTGATTAAATTTTAGTTGTAATGACATTGGATATATCATTTAAAATTCAACTTTTCTATCTGCAAAATATGCAAAACAAAAACACACCTCCAAACCCCTGAACTTCAGAAAAGAGTAAATAAAAAAAATAACAATTAAATAAGAATAAAACATTTTGAGACACAGTTCATCCCACAATACCACATTTTTTCTCTTCTATGGGTGAAAACATGACAGTAAAGAAGTTTCAAATAAAGAAATGACAGAATCCATTTATGGCATGTGATTATTGGTGCAGGGTTTGATATGGGGCTTCAATTTGTTAGCAGCCCAGGTAAAAATTTACTGCAGGTAAACAACTTTCCCCTTTTGATACAAATAAGACAGACAAGCAAGCGAGCCAATGGATGGGTTCAGCCCAAGGTGGAGTTTTCTGCAATTAGCACTTACCATATGTTACTCCTTCAGCTGGTTGCTGCCTTTCATTTTTTAAGCTTTCAGGTAAGTTTCTCAAAACTGAAATAAGCTACAAAAAGGGAGATTAAGAAAATTAATATTATAATAAATACACCAAATTCTGATGCTGCATAATTTCTTTTTACATTAAAAGAACTCAGAGTGAGGGAGCAGAGTCAGCTACTGTATTGGCTTTAACTACTCTTTTTCTGGTGGTGTTGCACTGTGTCAATCATCCCAGGACCCTGGTGTGGGTAGACCAACAGCATTCTCCAAGTCAATGGCCCAGATGAGGACTGCAGTTCATAGTTAAGCAAAGTTTTTATTCTATGAGCTAACTGGTCCACATGAGCATTTACTGGAAAGGCATTATTAGGTACTCACTATATACAATATAAAGTCACAAACCTGTGTTGACCTTATAGCTGCATAATCTACTCACTTGGTTAAGGGGGTTTTAAAGGATCCTAAAGGTGAAAACCTAAATGTTTATTTGCTAACTTATTCAATAATGCAAATTTCAGGAAGTTCTTACACAGTCTAAGAACAAAGCTTCTCTAGCTGTTTGATTATAGAGCACAACTTTCTATAAATATTAACAAATGTTAATCTATTCAGATGATTCCCAAAGACATTCTCCATCCCTGACCTTAGAACCTGAGTTCCATATCACATCTCCAACTACCCATGGGACTTAATCTGTTTAAATGTCCTTTCAGTACTTAATCACTGATATAATAATTAGTAACATTTACACAGTACTTTAAGGTTTGTAAAGTGCTCTTCAATTATTTGCCTCATAACAACTTTCAAAAGTAGATGCTATTATTATTATTCCCATTTTATAGATGAGGAAACTGAGACAAACAGAGATTAGGTGACTTGACCAGGATTACACTGCTAAGACATGTCTGAAGGCAGACTTGAACTCAGGTTTTCCTGACTCCAGGCCCGGTGCTTTATCCAGTGTGCCACTGAATTTTCTCTGCTTAGGGATGGAAGGGGCCTAAGAAATTATCCCACCCTCTCCTCCAGGCCCTCCATTTTACATATGAGGGAAGTGAAGCCCAGAGAGGTCACTTGGATACTAAGTGGCAAAGTTAGGATCTGAACCTAGGTCCTCTGATTCCAAATCCATCCTCCTCCTTCTTCACTACACCAAGACACTTCCTCAAACTCAACATATCCAAAACAGAACCTCTCTGTCTTCCAAAGCCTTCTTTTATTATGACTTTGTTATTTCTCTGTGTGGTACCACCACATCCAGAAGTCTCTCTCCACTCACAACTTTAGAGATATAGTTGACTCTTTCCTTTGCTGCTCCCCACAGTCAGTTACCAAGCTGTGTTGGCTATAACTGCTACATTTCTCAGTTTAGCATGTCTTTTCCTCTCTAATCTCACCTTAGCACACTCCTTGATTGCCATCCACCTGAACTACTGCAAAAGTCTAAAGGCTCTTTCTGCCTCCATTTTCTTCATCTTCCTTCAAAATCAATTCATCACTATGTTACCAGAGTGATTCCTAAAGTACTGCAGAATTTCCTAAAATAGATCTATAATCATTCCAAAGAGTTTGGCCAGATTATCTATGCAGAAAAAACCCAGTGGATAAAGAATACCTGTTGTCCTGAAAACGATATATGAAAAACTCATAGAAGTACAGCTAGGTGGCGCAGTGGATAGTGCTCTGGCCTTGGAGTCAAGAGGACCTGAGTTCAAACCCAGCCTCAGACACTTCAACACTTAACTAGCTGTGTGACCTTGGGCAAGTCACTTAACCCCGACTGCCTAGCAAAAAACAAAAAACCCATAGAGCTGGCCCATTAGTACATACAACTTGGATACATGTGGTAAATGGGCAATTATCTAGGTGAAAAACACAACAGCAGGAGAATGGGTTGAGTTGACTTTGGGAAATTGCATAGTGTTTTCAATCATCCCAAGCTTTTCCCAGAAACAAAGGATCATTTTTTAAAAAGAACAATATTCTTCTGATGCTGTCTGACTAAGTCATGGAATACCCATTTTTCAAAAACTAAAACTGAGGGTCACCCAAGGGCAATGAGATGCATGATGGGTCTAACAGTACCACTGAAGAACTGTGCAAGAGAAATGGCATGAACGATGTCAACAAGAAGATACATGACCAAAAAAGAAGATGGCATGGTCATGTGGTGAGAAGGAGCAATAATTAAGGAACAGCTTCTCATACTCATCAAGAGATTTGGGGGAAGGCCCCAGTACAATGGGTAGATGTGCTATAGATGCTAAGTGGGAAGAGAGGTATGAGTCACACAATATAAAAAGGTACAGATGGTTCATGTACTACATCCCTAGAAGAAGTATTCACATCACTGAGATCATAGATCCATTAAATCATCTTTCTCAGAGTCTAACACAGAGCTCTGCATAAAATAGGAATTTAAATATCTGTCAAAGCTAAATGTTCAAATAAAGTATTTGTACCCTTGGCGATTCATTTAGCTAAAGAATTTAATCAGGCATTTTTCATTGCCAGCTATAGTAATACTAGTAAAAGTGGCCCTCAAACACTCATGATGTACATCCCAATAGTATTCCTACGAATGAATGAATATATTTCATCTGGCATACAGAACAACACAAACTTGTTCAAACCAGGTAAACTTCAAAACATGGTGTTTGAATGATACATATTACAACAGAAAAACTATACTTTAAATTTATACAGCACTAACAGGAAATCCTAATTGCCGGTTTTATAGAACGTTTTGTAGTTCAGATTCTCAAATATTTTCTACAAAATATCTCTTTTGGCAATTGTTTGAACTTTACTGATACTTGTGCAGTGCTAGTACCTGTTTGTGATAATACTGTATTTCCTGGCTCCTACCACTTCTACTCCTTCCCTTGCAAAAAACTGTGAGCCCATTCCTTCAGAATATTTCTACCCATTTTCTTTTCCAATAAAAAGTGAATTTCATTTCACTAAAAGCAAAATCAGATGGAATTCAATTCAGTAGACATTTATTAAGTGCCTACTGTATGCAGAACACTAAAGTAGGCAATTGGGGTTAAGTGACTTGCCCAGGGTCACACAGCTAGTAAGTGTCAAGTATCTGGTCTGAGACCAGATTTGAACTCAGGTCCTCCTGACTCCAGAGCTGGTGCTTTATCCACTGTGCCACCTAGATGCCCCAGGTGCAATCATTAACAACAGCTTATTTTGCTGTTTTGCTGAATTGTTTCTGGGACTTTGGGGCAATTCCCTCCCACTCCAACTCTGTTCTATATAGTCTATGATACGTTTTTGGGAAGTTTAAGGGGTTTTATTTATTGTTCTTGCTTATGATCTTGCTTGTACTATCTGGTTCTGATTCATATATTTGAACATCTGTATATGTTAATGTGTGAAGGGAAGTTAAGTAGCACAGTGAATAGAGTGCTAGGCCTGCAGTCAGGAAGACTCATCTTTCTGAGTTCAAACCTGGCCTCAGACACTTTATGAGCTGGGTGACCCTGGGCAAGTCACTTAACCCTCAGTTTCTGATCTGAAAAATGAGCTGGAGAAGGAAATGGCAAACTACTCCAGTATCTTCGCCAAGAAAACCCCAAATGGGGTCACGGAGAGTTGGACACAACTGAAGACAACTGAATAACAACACAATGTGGTTGTTAAAACTTATCAATTTTTTAAAAATTGGGCAAAGGGGCAAAATGATCAGATTTATGCATAAAGAAGATTAACTTGACAATAGTGTAAAGGCTGCACTGGAGAAGGGAGAGGCAATATCGAATTCTATAACAGTATAGGCAGGCAGAAATGAAAGTCTTTACTAGAGTGGTGTTAATGGAAACAGGAAGGGGTTGGTATGAGAAATACTGTAGAGGTCTAACTGACAGGACAATATAAACTATTATATAAGAGAGATGAGGGTGAAGGAAGAATTAAAGATAATCAATTAATAAGCATTTATTAAATCCCTACAAAGTGTCCAATACTATGCTAGGATGTGATAAGAATAAAAAAAACAAAACAAAACCCAAAAAGGAGGCAGTCCCTGCCTTCAAGGAACTTACATTCTATGGTATAGACATGTTCACAAATAAATAAATGTAGAATATATATCAAAAATTATACAGTGATATACAGAGCACTGACAACTGGGGAAATCAGCAAAGGCTTCTAGAACAAGGGTTCTTTTTTTTTTTTATGCTTCAATCTGCTTTCAGACTCCATCAGTTCTTTTTCTGCAGAAGGATAGCATTTTTAAAAATTTGAATAGTATTTCATTTTTTCTCACAATTACCTATCAAGAAAAATTTTAGCATTCACTTTTACATCATTTTGAATTCCAACTTTTTCTCCTTCCTTCCTTCCCTTCTTCTGAAAACAGTAGGCAGTTTGATATAGTTCATACATACGCTATCATGTAAAACCTATTTCCTTATTCCTCACAGTTGTGGAAGTAGAACAGGGATTTTTAACCTGGGGTCTATTGTTTTCAGAAATATTTTGATAATGGTATTCTGAAATAACTGGTTTCCTTTGCAGTCCTATGTATTTTATCTTATGGATTTAAAATATCATTCTGAGAAAATCTTTACAAGACTGCTAACGGGGTCCATGACACACAAAAGGGTAAGAACTGCTGCTCCAAATGGAGATATCACTTTATCTGAGCCTGAGAGGAAGCTAAGGTTTCCAAGAGGAAGAGGGGAGAAAATACTAAAAACATCAGAGACAAACTCTACAAAGGTACAGAGGTCAGAAATGGATACAGCGAAGGGAATAGCGAAGGGAATAGCGAAGAGATCAATTTAGCCAGAACAAAGAATGTGTAAGGAGGAGTCTAATGTAATCAAACCATAAAGGCTTTAAAAACAAAACAGAAGAATTTTAATCTAAAGGCATCATGGGAAAATTAAAGCTCCTTGACAGAGGAGTGATATGGTCACCAAAGTTTTGAACACAGCTAACTGAGTTACAGAAAATCTAGCATAGTTTTGTCAAGAACAGGTCAGGGCAGACTAACCTCACTCTCTTTTATGATAGGATTTCTAGAATAATAGATGAAGGAAAAACTGACTATAATTTGCCTAGATTTTAGCAACTCATTTGACAAAGTAACTTGTGCTAGTCTTATGGACAAGATGTAGATATGTGAGCTGGACAAACAGGACAACTGAGTGGATTTTGAAGTTGCTGAATTGCTGAACACAATTAGTGAACTAACCCAGACATCACTGCTTGGCTCAATTCTACTGAACATTTTTATCAGTAATAATAAGTTTATATTGATATAGCACTTCAAGGTCTGAAAAGTCTTTTACATATATTATCTCATTTGATCCTCATAACAACCTTATGACAGAACAACGTAACAACCTCCCTATTACCTTCAGGATCAAATACAAGCTCCTTTGTTTGGTATTTAAAGCTCTTCACAACCTGGCCCCTTCCTATCTTCCCAGCCTTCTTGCCTATCACAGTCTAGCCATATGGGTCTATTTGTTCTTCCTCACACAGAACCCTCCATATCCCACCTCCATGCCTTTGCCCTGGCTGCCCTCCACACCCAGAATACTCACTCTCTAAACTTCTACCTTTTAGAAGCCCTGGCTTATTTCAAGACAGCTCATTACACAATAACAACAATACTATGAAGACAAACAATCCTGAAAGACTTAGAAACTCTGATCAACACAATGGAACCAACCACAGTTCCAGAAGACTCATAGCGAAACCTGCTATCCACCTGCAGGTAGAGGTGATGGATTCAGAGTGCAGATTTCTTTTTTTTGATGTGGCTAATGCAGGAATTTGTTTTATTCAACTTATATTTGTAATGAATGCTGTATCGTGCTTTCTCAATGGGTGAGGGAGGGGGAAGTGGGAGGGAAAGAACTTGGAACAGAAAATAAAAACAAAATAGAAAAAAAGATTCAGCTCAAATGCTACTTCGTGCAGGAGGCCTTTCTTCATCCCACAACCGCAAGTGCCTTCCCCTGAGATTATCTTCCATCTACTCTGTAAATAGCCTGACTACACCTATTTATGTACTTCCTATCTCCCCCATTAAAACGTAAGCTCCTTGAGGAGGGATTATTTTTTCCTATGTCCCCAGCATGCCTGACACATATGAAGAACTTAATATTTGTTAACTGATATACTGTTTGACGTGGATGCTATTACTATCCCCATTTTACCGATGAGGAAACTAAGGCTTAGGAATAGTGACTTGCCAAGAGTCCCACAAATAATAACTATCTGACACAGGAATAGAATCTAGGCCTTCTTGACTTCCAGCCCAACACTATCGACTACAGCATAATGCCTCTTTGTCATCAGTAATTTAGATGAGGGGCCAGCCAAATTCAACCAGTCACTGCCAGTTTGTTTTTGTAAGCCCCCAGGAGTGAGGAATGGTTGAGTTTTTACATTTTAAAATAATTTTTTAAAATTGAAAAATCAAAAAATCAAAAACAAAATAACTATTCCTAGGTTGTTGGAGCCGCAGCCAGAATCAGCCCTCTGGTCAGATGTGGCACTTGGGCTACAGCTCACTGACCTCTGACTTAAAGGCAAAAGATGGTACCTTAAATTTACAGACAGTTAACACACCTGATGGCAGGGCCATGATCCCAAAATATTTTGGAAAGCATAGTGAAACAAGTTGGGAGATAGGTGAAGCAAGTACATAGTCCTGGAAAGCAGCAGGACTGATCAAAATGCGGCAGAGGGTTTAGAAGAAGCAGTATGAATATGTAGCATGGCTCTAAGATAGATTCTTAAGCATAACTAAGACTAGAAGACTGGGATTGGTAACTGGAATGATAGCAGTAGAATATTGGCGGTATATGAAAGGTATTACTCAGCTGATAGAACAACACAGGACCCTGAAAAGTTAACACACCCCAAGTGTACTGTCTGATGTTAATATGCATTTGTTGCTGTGTATAGTCTTTGGCTATTTCACACATGTTTTTATTATGATTTAGGCTCCTACCCTTAAATTCTTTTGCAATTATCATCATGAACAAGCATTTATTGAGCGGCTACTATGTGCAGGGTAATAGAGTAGGCAGTTGGGATATGAGGCAGTTAGTCATGATTGAGGAAGGCAATATCATTTGAATGACAGGATATATAGAATGCAATTCACAACAAACAATAATATAGTATCTTAGAATTTCAGAGTTAGAAAAGATCTTAAGAGTTCATACAGTCCTCCTCGTCACCTGAGCAGGAATCCCCTCTAATACACCCAACAAATCATTTGAAAGCCTTCAGTAACGGGGAACTCATTATCTCCTCAGGCAGCTCATTACACTTTTGGACAGTTCTAACTGGTAAAGAGTTTTTCCTCATATTAAGCCCAAAGCTGTAATCTTCATTCATTGTTCTTAAACAAGTCTAATCCCCTTTCTTCAAAAAACAGACCAAACTTTTTTGATGCTCCGTTGTATTGCCGTCACTCCCCTTGATCTCAGCGATAAAACTCCCTTCTAACAAAAAATAAAAAACCACATCAACCCGTTGTCCACATCTGACAATCTATGCCTCATTTTGCACCTATTATCTGCTATTTCCCATGCTTCACTATCACTCCTCTGATGTCAGGAATGGTCACTGTATTAATCAGCAGGTCAGTGCATAATCAGTTCCTTCCATTTTCAGTCTCTTTACCACCCTAATCATCGGTTCTCTTCCATTCAGGTTATCAATGTCTTTCTAACATAGCTGAACTGAACACGATACTCTAGATGTGGTCTGAGAGAATACAGTAGAACTAGAACCTCCCTCTGTTTCTATTAATGCAGTCAAAAATTACATTATCTTCTTTGACTGCTCTGGCATATTACTGATTCACAACGAGCTCAGAGTCAACTAAACCCCAAGGTCTTTTTCAAATGCACTAGACTCTGTCCACATCTTCCCCATTCTATACATGTGCAGTTTATTTTTTTAACCTAATCATAAGATTTTAAATTTAAATCTATCAAATTTTATGTTAAATTTATTCCAATGAGATTTTTGTATCCTAATTTTGTTATCTAGCATGTTAGCTATCCTGTGCAGATTTGTGTCATTTGATAAGCATGCTACCTGTGCCCGTATCACTGATAAAAACCACTAGCCAGAACAGGATCAAAAACAATCCTGTAGCACTCCCCTAGAGACCTCCTTCCAAGCCAAAACCAATCCAATAATTACATTCTTTTTTTTTAATCATTTATTTAACCAGTTCTAAAGTCACTTAATTGGTCTATCATCCAGACCACATCACTCCATCTTGTCCATATGATGGGATTTCTGTCAAGTGCCATGCCAAACCCAGGCAAATGTCTAAGAAAGCCCCTGGGTCTACCACTCTAGTATGTAAGAGATCAACAATCTCATTAGCATGGGAGACTCCTGATATAGAAATTCTCTCCAACCAAGCAGACTGGAACCCATCTATGATTTAGTACAGAAGTCCTAGGGAGTTCAGCAAGATACACAAAAAGTTAAATGACTTGCCCAGAATCACCCAACTAGTCAGAGGCAGGACTGCAACCAATGTCTTCCCAACTTTAAGCAGAGCAGTCACATTGCCTCTATGATTTTAATAACACTGCCAAAAAAGGAAACGAGCTTAGCCTAACTTGCTCTTGCCCTACCTGCTTTCTGCCAGTTTCCCATTCTAAGAACTTACAAGTAACTCTTTTAGTGACACGTATAACAGTAACTCTCATTTATAAAGTGCTTTCCCTATAACAATCCTGTGAGGTGGATAATGCAGGTGTTATTACCTCCTTTTTACAGATCAAGTAACTGAGTCCTTGAAGAGGTAAAGGGGCTTGCTTTTAAAGCTGGTAAGTACTGAAGTTGGGATTTGAACCCAAGTCTCCAATCCAAGTACAGTATTCTTTACATTTCACTCCATATTCCCTCCAATAAAGGGATACAAATTAGTAAGTACAAAGCACACAGTAAGCGCTGACTATGCTGCATGAATTTTCTAACTGAATAAGCCAAGTACTAAATGAGTGGAGCTAAAGAAGTCTGGAGGAAGGAGAGATCACCGAAGGTTGGGATGGTCAAGAAATACTTCCAAGGAATTGAGGCTGCAGTGGTACAGACAGTATAAACCTTTAATAAGAAAAGAGAAAGGAACAAGAGATTCCAGGGAATGCGAAGAGCATATGCAAAGGTAGTGACTCACGGCAGCAAAGCTCAGAGTGTGTTTGAAGAATGCTAAATATGCTCAAGTAGGCCAAAGTATAGGGGAAAAAATGAGACAGATAAGGCTAGAAAGACAGACCAGATTACAGAGGACCAAGAATACCAGCCTAACAAACATTTAAACAAAAAACTGTATCACCCTTTTCCCCCCTCAAAGAAGCTTAAAATACCTCATCATTCAATTCAGGAAGTATTTATTAAATGCCTACATCAAGGGTGCAAAGACAAAAATGAAAATGGTCCCTGCCTTCAAAGAGCTAACATTCTCCACGATAAAATGTTCCTTATATTGGGACATTAGATGAAACCTCTATTTGACTGATTAAAAGAAATTATAACGCGATGTGGGTGAACTTACCATGTTGGCACCCAACCTTGATAACACTGTTTCCAATTCCTTCGCTGTGCACTGCGGTGGTACAGGAATTGTTTCTTGTTTAATAATTGGACCTACATCGAACCTAGAAAAAGAATTAAAAGGAAAACTACTCTTACTGACAATACTTGTAATGAACAACATATCACACTCACATTTCTGCCCTCTTGGGCTTTTACTAAAGACACAGTAACATAAACTACAGGCTGGCACAGAAGGCCAATCTGAATAGTACCTGACAGCTACCTCTAACATCAAAAATAAGGGGAGAAATGCAGTAGTTTAATAGATGATCTGATTTTGACAACAAAAATAAATACAGAATTGAGAGGCAGAATAGGCAGAAACTAGTCTGTAACTTTGTTTTAAAATTTACATTTTTCTCTAAAAAAGGAAAAAAAGCATGATGTGTCTATTAAAAATACAACAAAAATGTTTAGCCAGATGGCAAGAGGAAGATGCTCTTTTACTACAAACATATTCATCTTTCTTTATGAAAAATACAGAGCAGGTTATCTATCATCCATGGAAACAAAATTAGAAAAGGCATTGTTTCTCTCTTCCCCAAAGGTAACATTTCATTTACCTAAGAGTTCTGCCTTCATGAAATCATCAGGACCACCAGTAAATGAAACAAACTTTCACAAGTGCTATATTTCGCACAAGGGTGCAAGGTTTGGTGTGTTTGTGTGTGTGTGTGTGTGTGTGTGAGTGCTCACACGTGCGCCTTTATATACCTTCACATGTGCTGATATCAGGCACAAGCCTTAAGACTTAGCTTCAAGAATAAAAGTTTAAACAGAACAACAATTTGTGAATTTTTAAACTGTTCTTCTCTGCTATAAACATTAACTGATAGTAACATATGTAAAATTGCTATACTTAACTTTCACTTTTGTAGTATGTATTATGGGAAATCTGTAACTAGCATTCAAAAGCAAATTTGTTAAAATTTATAACAACTATATTACACAATTATATATTATTCTTTTTTCATCCCGTGAGAAACAAAAAATGGCTATCACAAACAAGAATGTAAGTTCTGGTCTTTGATAAGCAGTCCCCATCATCTGAGAGAATTACCAAAAAAGAGGCACTTGATTTGAATTTAATTTCTAACAGTCTAAATTAGAAAGTTTAAAAATTGTACAAGGACTTCATGAAGGGCCTGTATGCTCTAAAACAGGCCTGTACAAACTTGAGGACTGTGGCTGCTTTCAGCACACCAAAGGATTTCCTCTACATACAAAGGATGTTTCCCTCTAAGTTTTTCGCAGGATGCCAGAAATCCTTTGGCATGAACAAGCTGCCTGTGGGCTGTAAGCAGCCCATAGGAGCCGGCAGCTGTGCAGGCCTACTCTAAAAAAAAAGAGTTTATAACTTAAGGTTTGGTGTTTAGGATAAAAAAAATCAGCGTATACTCACTTCCATTTTTATGGAGTTAAAAAGTTAACTTTAACACTCTGAAACTGGAGAAAATGGTTAATAACTAGCACTATTAGAAAAGCATATATAAGGATACTGACACTTAAAAAAAGGAAATTTGCTGTACCTTTTAGGTTTGATTTGCATAATTGTTACCCCAGTAACTGCGTCTCCATGAAGCACCGTATGGACAACAGGGGCAGGACCTCGCCATCTCGGGAGATAACTGGGATGGACATTCAATATGCCACTGGATTAAAAAATTGGGGAATTAATATATGTGGGTTCATAACTAACTCTTAGGTAAACTGTTACATGACTTTAAATAATGCTTACTTTTTCTAATTTATGAAAAACTGCTTTCTATCTAAAACTATATTAGTTTATTTATTGTTCCAAAAGTGTTCCATAATAGTTCACTGGGAACTTAATAAACAATTACTTTTTAAAAAGATTTATTTTTAAAAAGATTCCTTAATAAACAATTACTTTTTAAAAAGATAATTCTTTTTTTTTAAAAAGAATTATCTTTTTAACATGCGGGAAAAGATCTCAAGACCCAGTATGCATTTTATTCCCTAAAATCATGGACAATGTGAATTATGTTCATAATCTATTCAGATACTGGCTGTCCTCACTTCATCCAAACAACCTAAAACAACCTTTCTATATCTCTACCACATTACCTATTTACTTGCATATTCTTCTCCTTAATGTAAATATTTTATTGCTCTTTCTGTTTATATTGTACATGTCTATCTATGACAATCTGTGTATTTGTTTGTTTTTGTAAACTCCTAAAGGTTTTGGACTATTATTAATTTATTTTAGTAATAGTGCCTAGCACAGTGTCACCCAAAATTAAACATCTATTGCTTTTTGGTGGTGATGACTCATACCAATAACAAGTCTTTGTTTGTTTTTTGTTACTTTTAGTGATAAGCAGATTCTGTGAGATCAAAGAAAACAAAATTAAAGTTCAAATAGTAACTATTACACCTTAAAAACACCAAGTCCATCTATAATGACTACTGATTTCTAAATTTCTTTAAAAGAGAACTTACTATGGAAATTTAAGAATGAGTTCTTCACTCAAAAGACGACCAAATGAAGCCACCACTCCAACATCGAAGTCCCCAGATCCCACATCAGGCCATTCATATACTGGAAGCTGAGCCTGAAGGGCATAACTTTTCACTGGCAGTCCTTTTGGTGAAGGGGAAGGCACTGTGACCACCTCTAAATTTTCTACTATCTGGTCCCTTTTATTTTCCCTTAAGATGGTAAGACAGGAAGGAAAATGCAAAGGTTAGTTAAGTGACTTTTGTAAGACATAAAATACAGCTGGAAATACTACACTTTGTTATACATATGGAGTGTACCTTTTTGATTGAACTGATAAAAAGATTCAAGGTTAGACACTTAAACCAAGAGGCTGAGTGAAAAATTTAGGATCAGGGTGAAAGCCAAATGCATTAGTAAAAATGTCTGAATAGTTTAAAGAAAGTTTTTTTCCTAAGAAAGTTTTTTTTCTTCCAATTACAGCATACAATATAAGTCAATCTATAAAATGTTACTGCATTAGTAAGTAAAATAGCATATGTACATGAAAAACTGAAATTAGGGTCATAAAATCAGTCAGAATATTTTATAAAACATTATATAATCATAAATGTCCTATTCAATGAGAATTATGGCAGTAGTGTCAAACTCCCAGCCTCTGTGCAGGAGTTTCCAGTGTGGCTCAAACCAGATTAAAATGTAATTGGGAGATGTTTAACAAATTTTTTAAAAAAATATAACACAGATAATGCCAATTAGAAGTTTTCTCAGTCAGTATGCCCAGACACCTGTTTCTATTTGAGTTTGACTCCACTGATGTACAGGATTGGGAGGCAGCACCATGCAGTAAAAAGTGTATTGAATTTGGAGTCAGCAAGACTTGGGTTTAAATCCCTCCTGTGCTACTTACTACCTAAGTGACCTTAAGATCTTCAGGCTTAAGTTTTTTGCTCATCTGTAGAAAAGGATAAAGCATAGTACCTACCTCCCAGGGAGGTTGTAAGGATCAAAGGAAATAAAATATGTAAAAATACCTCACAAACTTTAAGGTATTAGATCAGTTATCACATGTAGAGGCAAGTGTCCCAGAAGGAATGTAAAAAGAATGGGGAACAGGAGAATAATACAGAAGGCTTGTGTTGGGGTTTAGAACAAGAATTTTTAACTTTTTTTCTTCATGGAGTTGAACCCTTTGGCAAGTTGGTGAAGTCCACAGACCCCCTTCTCAGACTATTTTTAAATGCATAAAATACACAAAATTAATAACTAGTATTTATATGGCACTTTAAGGTTTGCAAAGCACTTCACAAAATATCTCATTTGATCCTCACAACTATCCTGGGAAGCAGGTGCTTTTATTATTCCCATTTTACATGTGAAGAAACAGAGGCAGAGGTTAAGTGATTTGCCCAGGATCACACAGCTAGAAAGTGTCTGACCCTGCATTTGAATTCTGGGGATCCTAACTGCAGGTCCAGCTCTCTATGTAACGCTCCAATGGCAAACCAACTATATTGGAATAGTTTTCAACATACTTAAAGAAACGCTCATGGACCTCAGGTTAAGAACCTTTGCGAACTGCAGTCACATCTGAGTTATGTCCTGTAGTAAGAGGAGTGAAGGACTGTACATACTGAGAACAATGACAGGCTATAAATTATATAGGGTGTCCTGTATTCATATTTATTATTATTTAACTTTAAAAGCTTAAAATTGCACTACAACTTTGGATGCCCTGTACAATATAAAAGTTCTGGAGGAGAGTGTATCCATCAGACTAGTCAGGACACTCTCATTTTAATCTGTGTGACACACACACACACACACACACACACACACACACACACCCCGGTTGGGGGCGGACACAGCCACCTGAGGGGGTCTGCATACCCTCCCTCATCTCATCACACACAGACGCTTGGGGGACGGGGCTCCCTCATTTTTGTCACCTCCCTCATCTCATAATACAGTCTCATAACAGCCACATACACAGTCACACACAGTCAGTCTGTCATTCACTCACACACACATACACACACCGCTCAGGGGGTCTGCATATCCTCCCTCATCTCACACACACACACAGACACACACACCCCCTGACCTGAAGAGGTCTGCATACCCTCCCTCATCTCATCACACAGACACACACACCCCCGAGGGGGTCTGCATAGCCTCCCTCATCTCATCACACAGACACACAGACACACACGCACGCACGCTCGGGGGGCGGGGCCAAGCCCCGCCCCTGCACCGGGAGGTGCGCGGAGTGCGCCCCGACCCGAGATAAGGAGACACAGCCAGGGCCCCGAGCCCAACCCCGCGCCCGCGGTCACGCTGAGCCTGCCGGGCGGAGGCCTGAAACCCCGCCCTCAGGTACCTGGCCGCGCTCAGCGCCCGCAGCACCTCGCGGGCAAAGTCGTCGGTGCCGAAGAAGAGCACCCTCCAGGGGGGCCGCTCCCGGGCTCGGGGCCGGACCGCCGCGCCATCCCCTCGGCCGGGGCTGGAGGCCCGTCCCCACCACTGGTGCGCCAGCCTCCTCCGGGAAGCGCAGCACAAGCCACAGGGCGGCTCCGGAGCCCGAGCCGGAACCGGCAAGCGCCAGGCCGGCAGCAGCGCCCGCATAGCGCAGACGTCGGCCCGCGGCCCACACTCCGCATGCGTGCGCTAGGGGAGGGGCAGGGCCTCGCGATGGCGAGGGCGGGGCTTCCAGAGGGCGGGGGAGGGAGGGGGCGCCCTCTTGTGGCATCCCTAACCCTCAGCCTCCTGAGACATCTCCCTGGCGGCAGGGGGCGGAGCTCCGTGGGGCCGGATACTTGGCCTCGGCCTTAGGGTGGTGGGTCGGCCCTCGTGGCATTTCCCCCTTCATTTCACAAAATATCAGCATAAAAGGTCTCAGGCGCTTATTACGTGCCAGGCACTGTGCTAAGCGCCGAACATATGAAGAAAGGCAGAAAGCCCCTGCCCTTGAGGAACTTGCCTTCTAACATGTGAACTACTAGGTACATACATTCCAATGGACACATTTAAGTAGAGGGTAGGCAATCCGAGAGGGGAAGGCGGCCCTAGCACCTGGGGCCATGGGGAAAGGTCTCCTCCAAGACGGGGCTTGAGCTTAGCCTGCAAGGAAGCCAGGGAAACTAAAAAGCAAGTGTGAAGAGGGAGAACGTGGCACGGTAAACGACCAGTGCAAAGGAGTGGTGATGGGAAATGAAGTGTCGTGTTCTAGGAATGGCAAGCAGGAGCCTGTGCTCCAGTGCAAGGGAGTAAGGTTTAAGAAGCCTGGAAAGGAAAGAAGGTGAACAGATATAAGGAGGTTTAAATGCCAAATACAAGAGTTTACGTTTGACGTTGGAGGAAACAAGAACCCATTGGAGATTGCTATAATGCCAAGGATTGGATTAAGGAACAAATGAATGAATAAAAAATCATTTTTAAGTATTTAATATGTGCCCTGAACATTTAATCTTTTTTTTTTTATTTTGGACTTAACAAATACCAAATAAAACGAACATTTCCATATACAAAGTAGAACAGAAAAAGGATTATGTAAGTAACTTCAAATCTCTATGCTGTACTTCACTTTTTCATTTAGGTGTATGATAAATTCAACATGTAACTTTCAAAACTGTGGGGTCTTTTGTTTTCTGTACGTTTAAAAATGCTTCTATGATCCTCTTTTTTTTTTCAACCCTATCACTCTCCTCCATTCCCTTCCCCCTTCTTCCCACCAAAAAACAGGAAAGCAAAACTCTTGTAACAAATATGCATAGTCAAGCAAAACAAATTCCCATAGAGGGCATATCATTCTGCAACTTAAGTCCACCATGTCTCTGCTAGGAGGTGGGTCACATACTTCATCATCAGTCCTCTAGAATCATGACTGGTCATCACATTGATCAGAGTTCTTGACTTTCAGATTTGTTTTTCTTTGAAATGTCATCCTTGTATAATTGTTCTCCTGGTTCTTTTCATTTCATTCTGCATTAATTCATACAAATTTTCCCAAGTCTCTCTGAAACTATGTTTCCTCATTTCTTATAGTTAAATGATATTCATATACCATAACTTGTTGGGCCATTCCCCAGTTGATGGGCACCTCTTTAGTTTGCAGTTTTTTGAGGCAATAAAATGAGCCGCTTTATTTTTGCAGGGACTTTTTGGCGTCCTTTTCCTGTTTCTTTGAACTCTTTGAGGCATAGGTCTAGTAGTAGTATCATTGGGTCAGAGGGCATGCATAGTTTAGTAACTTTTTGGTGCCTGGCACATTTGTACCTTCTATATCTAAATTTTTAATCCAATGACTTCAGGTGTTATCTGGGATGGTAGGAATAAAATTCCTCCACCTATGCATTAAGCTAGTTTTTCCTTAAAAAGGTTTGGGGTTTTTTTTTTTTTTGGCAAAGATACTGTAGTGGTTTGCCATTTCCTTCTCCAGCTCATTTTACAAATGAGGAAACTGAGGCAAACAGGGTAAATTACTTGCCTAGGGCCACAAAGCTAGTAAGTGTCAGAGGCTTGATTTGAACTCAGGAAGATGAGTCTTCCAGGCCTGATGCTCTGTACACTATGGCCCCCCCTTACTTCAAGCCTAAACTGAACTGTAATCCATTGCTCCTAGACTATCCTGTGAAGCCAAACAGAACAATTCTAATTCCTTTTCCACAAGACAGCCCTTCAAATTCTTGAAGATAAATATCACATCCCCTTCTAAGTCCTACTGTTGGCCTATATTATCAAAGGCCCCTTGCTTTCAAATATGTTCATATTCATTCATTCAATAAATATTTATTAAGCACCTACTATGGGCCAGGCACTGGCTAAGTGCTGGGGATACAAAAAGAGCCAAGCTAGGCAGTTAGGTGGTGCAGTGGATAGAGCTCCAACCTTGGAGACAGGAGGACCTGAGTTCAAATGCAGCCTCAGACTAAACACTTGACATTTACTAGCTGTGTGACCCTGGGCAAGTCACTTAACCCCAATTGCCTTTAAAAAAAAAAAAAGATGCAAAAGACAGTCCCTGCCCCCAAAGCACTTAGAATTTAATGGGGGAGACAACATGAAAAAAAAATACATCTAAAGCAAGCTATATTCAGGATAAATAGGAAATGACAGGGAAGGCATTGGAATTAAGAGATGTTAGGGAAGGCTTTATGTAGATGGTGAGATTTTGGTTAGAATTGAAAGGAAATCAGAGAAATCAATAGTCAGAGTGGAGGAAGGAGAACATTCCAGACATTTGGGATAGCCAGAGAGGATGCCCAGAGCTAAAAAACAAAAACAAAATAAAAAAAGAAAACGTGAAGTGTCTTGTTCAAGGAACAGCCAGGAGTCCAGTATTACTGGATTGAAAAGTATGTGTCAGGGAGTCAAGTGTAAGATTGGAAAAGTAGTAAAGGCTAGGTTATGAAGGGCTTTAAATGCCAAACAGAGCATTTTGCATTTGTACCTGGAGGCAGGGATGGCAGTGTGTGTGTGTGTGTCTGTGAGAGACAGAGAGAGAGAGACATGGTCTGTTCCCCCTCTCTTAGAGGCCCCCCCCAGTACTTAACTTCCCCCCCACCTCCTCTTTTCACTTACTGAACAATTGGTCTGCAGGTTTTGGTATCCATTTCTTTACCACCAGCTGCCCTTCTAATTTTCAGTCTGGTTTTTGTTTGTTTGTTTGTTTCCTTTTGTTTCTTTCACTCCAATAAAACTATGTTGTAGAAAGTGACTACTTTTATCAATCCCAGTGTGCATTCTTACTTAACTTCCTCACAACTGGTATATTTATCCCAATGGGTCTGGGGTTTTCTTGTCCTAATTGGCACATTTGTAAAGTGAAAAACTTTTGTTTACTGCTGATGAATGTGATGGGGTATGCCTATGCTGTAAGAAATGACAAATGAGATGCATGCAGAGAAGTATGGAAAGATTTACATGAATAGATGCAGAGTAAAGTAAGCAGAGTCAAGAAAACACTGTACACACTAAGTACAACGACCTAAATGGAAAGAACAAAAAAAAACCCAAAGTGAATGTTATGCAATGACAAAGATCAAGTGGGACTCAAAATGAAAATATATGGGAGGACACTCGTAACCCACCCCTTCACTGAGGTCCACAGGTATTGCACGTGGCCTATGTTTTTGGATTTTTTCAATGTATTAATTGCTTGTGCTAATTTTTTCCTTTCTCTTTTTTTTTTTGGTCTTTAAAAAATATCATCTGTTATATAGGTTAGTTGTGTGGGAGAGGGGAAGAGAAGAGGGGAAAACCATGATGATGCAAAAAACCGGAAGACATCAATTAAAACTTATTCCAAAAAAAAACAACAGTAGTGTAAACCTGAAGTTTGTGAGTCATTCAGGTGAGTTGTCAATCCTGCCAGAAATGACCAGCTTCTGGAAGGACCTCAAATGTGTTGTAATAGGTCACAAATCAAGACAAAAGGGACTAAAGTGACTGTGTCATAGACTGATACATATTCTCTCTATACCTTTTTTTTAAAGATCAATAAACTATAAATAAATGTACTTCCTCTGATTGTGATCTGAGATTCTTTTCCATAAAATGGCTCATTACATCCTCAATTTTTACCCTATCAATCTTTATTCTAATTTATAGCTCGACCTTTAAAATGACCTCTAATTTTTTATCTGCTGTCACCTCTAGGCACTGAAAACTAAATATATCATTTCCTCAAAGCCAGTCATTCCTCCTCTTTGAAAAACGGAATGCTGTAGTTGAATGACAACTTAGGCTCAAATCCTTACTTTGATTTGACACAAAATCTATTAGTTGTGTCACCTTGGACAAATCACTTACTCTCTGTAGACCTCAATTTCCTCACTTATGTGTGTTAAGTCATTTTTTCAGTCATGTCTAACTCCATTTCCTTCTCCAGCTCATTTTACAGATAAGGAAACTGAGGCAAATAGGGTTAAGTGACTTGCCCAGGGTCACACAGCTAATAAGTGTCTGAGGTCAGATTTGAACTCAGGAAGATGAGCCTTCCTCACTCCAGGTCAGGCACTCTATCCACTGTACCACCTACCTTCCCCTTCCTCATTTATAAAAGAAATAGACTAGATGCTGTTTAAGGGCCCTTCCTTTGAGCTCTGTCTGTGGTGCCACCATTCTTGTTGTCACCTAGATTTAGAACCTCAGAAGTGTATCCTTCTTCCCCCCATGTACCTAACCAATTGTCAAGTCTTGTGGATTCTTCCTTCAAAATGTCTCTTAAATTTCTCCTATCTCTGTTTCTCTTCCGTTCTAATAAAGGCATCTCACATCTGAATTGCTGTAACAGCTTCCTAATTGGACTTTTCTTCTTTCAGTCTTTCTTTCCTCCACAACCCCTCCCCCAATCTAAATACTACTGTTGAGGTTTAGGTGCTAGGGGTACTGGGACCCCAAAATCACCACACACGGGGCCTGCCCGAAAGAATTTGACCCAAGCCTTCTTTCAGCCAAAGACAAGGTTTATTAAAGATGAACCATACAGGCCAGACACTTAAGGAATCTGAGCATTTGTGACACTTGTAAGGACGAGTGGGCACAAGGAAGTCTCAGCCCCTAAATGGCGTCCAAGATGGATCTTATATACAGAAAAACTATGGGAGGGATGTGGGAGTGGTCGA